GGGGTGCTAGTGGAGTTGGGTCCCATCCACCCGGGGTGCTGGTGAAGTTGGGTCCCATCCACCCGGGGTGCTGGTGAAGTTGGGTCCCATCCACCCGGGGTGCTGGTGAAGTTGGGTCCCATCTACCCAGGGTGCTAGTGAAGTTGGGTCCCACCCACCCGGGGTACTGGTGAAGTTGGGTCCCATCCACCTGGGGTGCTGGTGAAGTTGGGTCCCATCCACCCGGGGTGCTGGTGAAGTTGGGTCCCATCCACCCGGGGTGCTGGTGAAGTTGGATCCCATCCACCCGGGGTGCTAGTGAAGTTTTTGCTTCACTTGAGCTTTGATTAGGACTGAACGCCCAGACAACAAGCCTTGGATTGACTCAGTTTAGACCACTCGAGCTCATTTAGTTATTTGGGAGTGTGTGTGTGTGTTGGGGGGGGGGGGGGGGACGACTTTCTCAAATAATTTAAGGGGTTTCTAGTACAGTTAAGTTTTGGTAACCTTTTGTAGAAATTAAGTAGATCCCGAATCTGTCATTATTTACAAGCATGCTTTTTCAATCTTTAAAAAAAAAAAAAAAAAATAATTTGAAAAAAATTCATTCATTTGAATGTCTGCACTTGCAATGATAGGCTCAACACATCTGTAGGAAAAAAAAAACTATTTTAAGATAAGTATGTCAAGTTAATTTTGTTGAAATATGTATGATTTATGTATTTCCAATGTGCGATGAATATAATTATGTCTTCAATTTTTCCAGTGTGCGAAGAATGTAATTATTTTATGTCTTCAATTTTGACAGGTTATTGCTGGTGCTAATACTTATTCAGCCTTTCATAATTTTAAAACCTTGACAAATGTTAAGGCAAGTGAGCCGCATATCAGACTGGGTCAATACCTATTTCGTTGCTATTGATTACACAAGGGTACAACAGCGATTTTATTAGAGAAACAGTCACAAACAAAAATAGTAACTTTTCGATTTTATTAAATAACATTTGTTTATGCACCTCAATTTGTCATGACTCTAAAAACTGAAAAACTGTTTTAGAGAGACAATGTTTCCAGAGTTCTTTTAGTATCAGTCTAAGTTTGTCTGAACTTGTCTCAGAATTTATATACATCTAGAAAGCCTTTAGTAAATCTCACTTTAACAAGACAGACACACTGCAAAATTTCACAAATAATCCAATGAGTTAACTCATTACAATTTAGGATTTGTTTAGGGGATATCCAAAATTAATTACATGAAACAGCATTGAGATACTTGGTTTTTTTTGTTTTTTTTGTTGTTTTTTTTTTTTTTTTGCAGCAACCCCCCAAAAAATGTAAACAAAAATTTAACAAATGATACATTTAAAAAATGTCTTATTAGTTCATTTTCAAATGTTGTAAAAGTTATACCTCAAAAGTAGTTCAACTTATAATCATTACAGTCACATATATTGAAAATGTTAAAAATTGTCAATGTTTGCATGCTTTTCTTAAAACACATATTTTTGACTCGTGGATGTATACTAGTTTATGTCCCTAGGGAAATGGAATCGTTTGGTCACCTTCTACTTAAGAGCCCTGTGTCAAGTTACTTTCTTTTACAGTTTATCTTCAGCCTTTGAAACTGAACCCTTTTCTTGGAAAACATGATGCGCAATTCGGTTGATCAATAACGAAATAAGTAGATGTTTTCAATCGGCCGGAATTTATTGA